TTGGAAAAATGCGGGTCGCACACGCGATTGATATTGATTTTGACTGATTGATATCACACACACACACGCGCGCGCGCGCGCGCGTGTGTGTGTGTTTTTGTGCGTGGATGTGTGTGTGTGTGTGTGTGTGTGTGTGTGTGTGTGTGGTGTGTGTGTGTGTGTGTGTGTGTGTGTGTGTGTGTGTGTGTGTGTGTGTGTGTGTGTGTGTGGTGTATGTCTGTGTGTGCCTGTGTGTCTGTGTGCATACGTGTGCGTGTGCGTGTGTCGGGGACAGACGATCACACGGTGCGCGTGTCGGGCATAGGAAAAATGCAGAACCATGTGCTGTAAGAAAGCGAGAGAGAGAGAGAGAGAGAGAGAGAGAGAGAGGAGAGAGAGAGAGAGAGAGAGAGAGAGAGAGAGAGAGAGAGAGAGAGAGAGAGAGAGAGAGAGAGAGAGGGCGGGAGAGAAAGAGAGATGGAAGAGAAGCTATATATATATATATATATATATATATATATATATATATTATATATATATGTGTGTGTGTGTGTGTGTGTGTGTGTGTGTGTATACATTAGTGATGCACACATTGAGTGCTGATGATCACAATTACATAATGATGATATACATAGCATGCATTGATGATGGATGATTTGGGCACCACAGTGCCTGCAGTCCGAGCAAATCGTTACGAGCGGTAGCTAAAAAGTCGGCCTGTTTACCACATTGAAAGTTTGTGTCACTGTTTGTATCTACCGAACCGATTCATCTCTTTGCCGGCACTCATCTCACCAAAACAGGTTCGGTGTCGAGGTTTTGCAACGACAAGATTAGGCTTTTGAAGTACCTATTTTGAGCCCAAAGGGCTCACGTCCCGAAAGCAGACGGGCTCCGACGGAGGATTTAATAATTCGGTAATGGTGCTCTTAAAGGATTCATCCAGCAGCAGCCAATAACCCCGATGTCAGAAACATTGACATGCTCACCTATGCAGTTCCATTCGTTTACGTCAGTCATTATGTATCTTTCTCAACTCCGAGAGGAAGCACTCTCTTCGCCTGAAATCACTGGCGTGGTGCCAGCCCTGCCAAGGCTGGGTGCCAAGCCAGCTCATTTACTTCCGAACGAGAGGCATCATCTTTATATCCACTTAAGTAAGAACGGTATGCACGTCAGGCGTGGTTATTGAGCAGTGCCTGCGAGCGCCGCATTCCACCCACAGAGATATGCCTTTTGGTCACTCATGCACTCCGGCTTTCCGCGGACCCGTTCCCGGAGATCCTCAGGTCACTCGTGTGCTGCCGGCTGTCCGCGACCCGTCCCCGGAGATCCCCCCTAAGGTCACTCGTGTGCTGCCGACTGTCCGCGGCCCGTCCCCGAGGTCCTCCGCTAGGTCACTCGTGTTCTAACGGCCGACATTGCCCAAGGATGAAAGTGGCGGCGTCTCGGCCTTGAGCCCAGCTGGCAGGCGTCGTGTGGTCGCCGCTCTCGGCGCCTGCACGCGGCTGATCGATTCCGCCTGCGCCGCTAATCTGGCACGCGGAGCTGGCGCGCAATCCTGCAGCACGGCTCGGCGGCGAGCTCCGTGCACGGCGTCACAGCGGGGTCACGTGCAGCCGCCGCTCTGACACTGAGTGGTCCGTGCAGTGGCTACGCGCGCCGCGCCGGAGGATTTCTGCCGAGGCGGCCGACACAGTGATCGCCTCGCAACGCGATCGATCACTGCCGGGTGACCTCTGATCTGCCCGGTCCCCTTTCACGTGGAGGAACGCGCCGCTTGGCCGCGCCTGCTTCAGAGCGGCTCTGCGCTGTCCGGACACGGCGACCAGCCAAGGCCTCGCTCTCACGCGGCTTCCGAGTGCGATTTTCATTCGAGGCGTTGCACGTGCTGCGTTTTAATTCGGCCAGTGGCCGGCAGCTAGTTAAGTGCAGTAAAACATTGAGCTGTTACCTGACACACAGGCCGCTCCCTATACGTGCAGCCTGTGTGTAGGGTTTCCGGAGTTCATGGATTTGTTTTCAAGCGATCGATTGTTCATACTTGATCGTTTGATCACGAGCATGGTCCTGAAACGTCAGTCCGGAAACCATGAGTTTCCGCTTACAATCGCAGCACGGCATGACCTATTGACAAGCGAAAAATGCCTGCACGTGCCTTACACGATGTCTCGCTGAGGCAGCATTTAAATATTACGAGAATGTGGACTGATAGCCTAGTAATGCTCTGTTGATTTGCGAATTTAAATCGATGTCTGCAAGGTGGCAAATCTGTCTTCATGCAAAGTTAAAGATTTTTAAGAGTTAAGATGATAAATCTAGCGGAGCCAGCGCAAACAGCATGTCCAAACCCACCACGATGCAACCACGATTTTCTTAAGAAAAATGACTTGGTGCGAACCCATACGAAAAGCGAAAGAAGACCACAAATTCCTTTTGTTTGGGTGTGTCCGCTTAATGGTGACAAATGTCTTTTCCATTGTTTAATCTAGGGCATGCACTAATTTTCCTTTCTTTTGTCAGGAATCGTGCTGCTAGCATAAAAAGCACCCGACCTAAGGGGGGTGCTGTCTCCAAGTCGTATGACATCGTATTTCTTTCTTATCAGTGGGTCCAAATCCGAGTACCATTCAACTGTGATACAAATCGCTTGGCCTGACTGAGCTTCAAAAATTTCCGAGCGCAGAGTCGTGCCAGATCTTAACCCGATTCAGGGCTCACGCCATCTCCCAGCCACAGCCGATTAAATCAAAAGAATGGTTTAAAATAATCAAACAAAAATCGATGAAACCGACAAGAACGGCAGCAGCCGACAGCTGACCGCGGCTGCTAGCGCGGTGCGGGGAGACATCCGTCAGTCGCCTCACAGCAAAACCGCATCCTCGCAGCCGCACCCCAGGCTGGAAGTCCGCAGCTGGGACCGGTGATCGGATTGGGCTGTGCCAGTGCACCCTACCGTCACAGCACAGCTCGTCACCAAGCTGCAGGTGCTCTCTTCAATGAGCCTATCCACCGGAGATGCGAGCCCGGTAGGCTAGCCAGATTTGGTTCATTCGAAATAAAGCTTTCGTTCTTTCAGCTCGCGTTGGTTTTAGCAACTATATCCAACAAGGAGCAAATCTTTACAACACGAACTTACGTAATTTTGCCGTGACCTAGATACTTCGGAACACGTTCATCGTCTTTGATATATTCCCTTTCCCAAAAGAAGTGACGCATTGCGATGCGATGCTGCCTGCAGCCCGGCCGTGCAATGCGGTGCCCCTGCCCAGGTTTACCAATGCAAAATATATAAGTTTCCGACCTGTGCTCTCTCCATCAACCAATCGGCACATTGCGCAGTCACGGTGAAAACAAATAAGTTTTCTATGATAATTGTAATTGATTATGTATACGTACATTGTAGAATTGATTCTGTGTACGTACATTGTAGAATTGATGTAAGTCGTAGTTATATTCATATCGTTTAATGTATTCTATGTTGTATATTTATCTACTACCCTATTGTTTAGTATCCATTTTTGCTTGTGATTATGCATGATATGATGGTTGCCTCCACCATTCAAAAGCGTGATTGTTCGGCGCGTTGTTACACAAAACATGGCTGGAAAATATTTCGCAAAGCGTTATGTTTTAAGCCTTGAAATGTTTAACCCCACGCATGCGTTGCAAATTTGCATACTTAGGGTTTTAAGGCAATCATCGCGGGACGCTCTGAAGCCTCAAGATAAACTCGTTGAATGTAGAAGGAATGTGACCAAGAGCATCATGTACATCCTGTGAAATCGATGCGTCTCACACCCGAAACGCCTATATCTCAGTTTGGTTAGGAGCTAGGAGATTTTTTGTGACAGCAATTCAGGGTACATATTTTTATCTACACATGACACCAGCTCGGCCTAAAACACCACATCTTCTGCCACGGGACAGGCTAAAACCGTCATATTCATACCACCGCTGGAACAGCCACAGCTCTGTTTTAAACTTTTGCAACCGAGCTGTAATCAATGAATAAGGCAAACTGCGAGTGCGCAATATGCACTGCCCTGTCTAATTCTCCTATCGCAAGTATAGTTCAAACGGCCGTAATCTGATGGGGCCACGCCATCAGGGCGACGCGCCAGTCCGGTTCGCGCCATCGGCGGCCGGTGCGGGAGAACGGCCGACCGGCCCTGCTGAACTGCCAGGCGCTCGCGCCGCCCCACGATTCGCGCCGAAAGTAAAAGGGATGCGCCCGTGCCACGCGACACCCAAAACTGCAGAGAAAGTATGAGTATATAAGTTTGCGCGGAAGTATGGACGTCATTCTGGTCTGTGGGTAGCGACTGAGAACGACTAGGGAGGCGAGTGATACGTGTCTGCTGTATCCGCACGGTTTTGACACCGTGGGTTTCTGAAGCGAAGCCATTGGATATTTCAGACGGTAAGAAAATGTTCCTTGCTGCGTGCTGGTATAAGGTATGCTGTCTTTGTTTTTGTTTAGGAAAGCACAATGATCAAGTGTGTTGCATGAAGTCAACCAATCATCAACAGTGTTATTTCTTAACGCTCACCAAGGTTTCTCTATAGCGTTCAGTGCTGTCGAACATTTGTGGTTGTATTAAATACCATACGTGTAGTTAGTTCTACGTATAATACTGATGGACGTATGACTAGAATATATCCTGTGTCAGATGTTGGTGACGTTTGTCTACGCTAGCGGTTTAGATGAATGTTTGCTTTATTAATTTGTACAGCAGATTGTCATTATGCGTGACCTAAAATCAAGTAATTGTGGTAAATTTTGCCATTATGCGACCTATTCTCCGTTCACATTTGAGTCATAAAGCAGTACATGCCAAAACCCAGCTCATCAAAGTTTTGGTCATGGATTTTATGCGTAATGTTCTTGTTGCCCATCACTGCTTGTTGTGATAAGACAAGCATTACGCAGATGCCCAAAGTAACTGCGCACGTGTAGTTAAGCCGACGCGGTTTAAAAAAAAAATCCGCGGCGACAGACACTGTGAAAACGTGGCTATGGTCGCGTCGGAGCTTACTTTTGTCGCATATTTGCAACGAACGACCTCGCAGTGTTACTGTGCGCAAGAACGCAGCCTATATGACGATGAATTGAACACGTTTTTAACTTCGCAAATGCAAGCTATAACAGGAAGCGGCGACGACCGATCAGAGACAAAATCAAACAGAGCAGGATACAACAGCCCTTTGTTTATAGCAATTGCAGTTCTCTGTGGTTTACAGTGTTGCTTTACGGTCTGCGTTATATTTGCCTTAACCTTTGGTTGGTTCGCACTAGTTTAATCCAATGACGATGATGTTCAAGATTTTAACAAGCTTCCACACGGTCTTGTTCATAACAGCAAGCCAGCAGCTGTAATGCCATTGGCTGCCTTCAAGACATATCTGTTTCAAGATGAAGATAATTAGAAACCGTTTCGGTAGAGTGCGAGTTTCATTCAGTCCATGGCTCCGTCGTTATGTGCATCCAAATTTGGCCGTAAATCGAGGCGCAGAACATTCTTTTCATTTTACCCCAAGCACAGCCCACGTCGTTGCTATATTTACCACAGGAAACTTTATCTACAATTCGTGCTGTAACTTATATCCTTCGTATCCGAAACCAACAAGTATATTCATCACCGCACGCATGTGCATTCTTTGATCCGATAGCAGAGGTTGTTAGTTATAGTTAGTTATAGCTGTAGGTTGTTAGTTACATTAGTTATAGCATTCCTTGAAAGAAATGTGACTATTATAGAAAAGGTTGAATTATTCCACAGCTGCGTGTTGTGTGCTTCTTCAACCAAAACATGACATCACCGATTTCATTTTCAGAACGGTATGAAACTGCACGCTATCATCGTTTTAGCAGGTAAGGTACCACTTACCAAACATCGTCGTAGATAAGGAAACAATAGATGGTCTGGAATGAAAAGTAGTTTATTGCCGTTGAAATGACAGCTGCCAGCTGTGTCAGGCCGTAATAACAATAAACAAGCATTCGCAACTTTACTATGTTGTGCACGACAACCAGTTGACGTCCAAGTAGGCATTGAGAAATTGATGTTTATATTTTTCGTGCTTGGCGTTTTGCTGCAGGCGTGTTCCTGTCACCTAGCACACTCGTCAGCGGCAATCCCCAGTACGGTCAACCAATCATTGCCCGGGGATCCAACGCTTACGGCGCCGGAGTTGGCTTCAACGACGACTCCCTGGTTCCGCTGAATCAGCCCATCTTCGACGCGCGGCAGCAGCAGCAGGGACTGCCTCGGGCGCGTCAGGCGGAGTCCCGCCCCAGTCCAGTGGCCGGGCTGGCTCCCCAGTCCGGGCCCAGGCCTCTGTCGGATCTGGCTCCCAGTGACCAGCCGAGCCTCGGCAATCGGCAACCAGACGGCCAACGGCCGGCTATCGGCCTTGACGAAGTGGATTTGCGGATCACCGACTTCACTACTGGCGGACAGGAGCCACCCTTGGGCACTAACAGCCTTGGCAGTGGCCCCTCTGTTGCAAACAGCCCGCCTCAGCCGCAAGTGATCGGAAGTGCCGGCCAACCCCTCCAAGGGCGAGGGCCAGGTCTTAACAACATCCTCACTAGCCTGCCGCCGCCGACGTCCAACGATGGAGGCGTTATTGGGGTCGGAGCTGTCGGCGGAAACCCGGAGGTTGTTCTGGGCTTTGAGCGGAATAGTGCACAAGTGGGTGGAGAGGCCGACGGCATCCCCTTGTCCCCAGGCTCCGGCAGCTCTCTTCAGCAGCAGCCGCTAGTAGCCCGCGGTGGTAACACTTATGGTGCTGGGCGGGGCATCGAAGTGCCAACATCAGCTCCAGTTCCGGAGGTAGGCGGTGACCTGAACATCCAGCCTGAACAGCCGCAGACCAGGGAAGGCATCCTGTCGCAGCCTGCCCTGCCGGATGACGATGAGGTGCCCACCGAGCCACGAGCAGGCAATGCATTCGTTGCCCCAGGACCGCGACCGATTGGCAACAATGAGGTCAGCACGGATAGAGCAATCAGCCAGCAGCCCGCACGTCCAAGAACGGCTGCTCCTGTGACTCCTGAGAGGCCAAATGATGGAGAGGGTCATCACATGGGGGGAATTGAGTGGTTGCCTGAATCGATCCCCGGCCAGCCTCTTATCGACTACCCAGTGCTCGTGAGGCTTCCAGAGTCGGGCTTCGACTGCGCTAACCAAGACGTTGATGGCTTCTACGCGGACACGTCTGAGGAGGCCCGCTGCCAGGTATGCAAAGCTGCATGTAGGGTGATAGAATATGAATTCGCGATTAATCTCATCTATTCAGGCTCTTCTTTAACGTGATGGTGACTTAAGCACCGGGTGATTTTGTCAGTGTTTTCACATGAACGAGTTCTGAGTTATGCCTTGGATCAAACAACTCTCTTGCTGGCCCGCCATGGCCGGTGGGGCGTCCATCATACAGTGACATTAACCGGCAAGAGTCATGCTGTTCATCGATTATACCCGTGAAATAAGCACAGCAAGTTGCAAAGCAGGCCCATCTTACTGAATCTTACCAAATCCCCTTCCAGGCGTTTTGGGTCTGCCACAACAAGCAGCAGGACGGATTCCTCTGCCCAAACGGGACCCTGTTCAACCAACGGTATTTCACCTGCGACTGGTGGTTCAACGTGCGCTGTGAGGAGTCGCCTGACTACTACGAGCTGAACAGAAACATCGGCGTGGTTGGAACGCGCATCGATACTCTTCCGGCCGGAGTGGTGGCAGCGGCGTCCAGAGTCCATCCAGTAAGTGTGCTTCCGGACGACGACTTCCAGTATGGGAGTCCTGACGTCTATGAGCCGGCACCTGATCACGCCGACAATGCCCAGCTTCACTCGGATGTCCCCGAGTAGTTGACGTATTCAGCGGTCAAGCGTGATGCGGCGGGAAGCGCGGTAGGCATCACCGCAAGCGCATGTGTCTTTCACGTACGGTTAGATGTTTCAGACCTTGTTCTTGTTATATGCACTTGTCTGAGCAGTCTTAACGTGTTTGTTTCCGTTTTAGGTATTCACCTTGCTAAGTGAGATACTGCACTTTCCTCGAGTTCCTCCCGTGCTTCCTCACAATAAGACCCAACCATCAAGCAAACCAAATGCCACTCCACAGCATCAAACCTCCATTGAGATCACGGAGAAGGTGCAAGAACGTCCGATATCAAATGCGCGTGCAAATTCTATGCAATCGAGGAACGCAGATGCCGATATGCAATGGTCCCCTGGCAGTGCAACATCGCAAGCAACGTAACCTTTACTCCGGATCAAAAAGGCTCGCTTTGGATGAACGCTATCTCGTGGGAGAGAGGCTTGGTGGTATGAGGTCTCAACGGCACCTCACCAAGGATAAACATTTCGCGGATCCATTGGCAATGTCGTTGCCAGAAACCCCCGGTGCACCACAGTCTCAGGATAGACCGAGTCCAATGCAACAAGATATTCAACATTCGGTCAATTCAACCCCCGCTCGAACCAACCCACTGTCGTCTGAGCCCGAGACAGTTATCGAAACCGTAGAAAAAATTAGGTTTCCCACGGCATCTAACTTATCGAACACCCAAAAGCTGGAGGAAGATATACGCATTGTTGAAAAGGCGGGTAACGAAACCTCACCACCACGGACCAACTTGCGTGGTGGCTTTCAGACGGCCTTGCCATCTGCAAACCAAATTCCGTCTGCCATTCAGATAACCATGCCGATGGGAAATTCACCAAGATCCGGAAATCCGCCTCTTATGCCCACAACTCAGCCATCTCCACTGTCACACCAAGGACATTCCGAACCAGCAAAATTTAATGAACGTCTCCCTGCTGCGTCCCCATCACCACAGATGTATCAGGGACGGACACTGCCTGCACGAACCCAGGGGCAGCCTCCAGAGCAATACCTGAACGGGCAACCATCAGGGCTTTCTTCGTCCCGGGGACAACCTCCAGGACAGCAACGGCACAATTCACAGCCGCCATCAGCAGGACTGCCCCCAGGCGTGTCTCCTCAAGATCATGCCCAACCAGCCCAGACCCAAGGACATGCTCCAACGTTTCCAACGCCATATCCACCCCCTAAGCCATCACTATGGTCCCCTACAGTTCAATCACAAGGTCAGGCTCTTCACCAGCCCCAGGTGGAATTAAAGCAGCCCCCGCCTCAGGGGAAGCCGTCTGGAACATCAGCAGAACACCAAGCTTATCCGGGGGGAAACGCTGCTGCCACACAGCAGGCCATGGCTAGCACACAGCAACCCCACTACCTGGGCCAGCCTTCAGGATCACTGTCTCCTGAAATGATAACAGAGAAACGTCCGGTCCCACCTCAAGATCAGCCCCCACCCAGTCCGCTGCAGTCCCAAGCATCCAAAAGCCCGCTGGAGCTGTCGAGGCCAAGTCAGGCACCCATACAAACTTCAGTCGTGCAAGATGCATTTAGGCTCAATGCCAGCGTTCATGCCTCCACGCCAAGTCCCTCGATAAATTATAGGGCAAGCTCCGTTAACAAACAGTTCGTGACATCCCTATCCCCAGCATATGCGCACGCAGTGGGTGGCAATGTCTCAGTGGGTTCTCAGTCAAGTAGTTCAAACTTCTTACCACCAGGCAGCAATGCTGCTGCAAATAAGAGCACAGGACCAGTTCATTCCCCTCTAGGTACTCAACAAAATGTTCAAAATTCAGGATATGCAAAATCACAAAAACCTGGTGGAGGTGCAGTCACCGCTGAAAATGGGCAAGCTGACAATGACAATCATTCTGGCCCAATACAGGAAGATTCGCATTTTCCCCCCGGGTCTGCACCGACTCCCGCGAGCAAACAGGGTGCGAACTTCGGAAGTTTGGCGCCAAATAGCCCACAAGATAGCAAAGAAGGCATAGTAATTGATGAAGATGTAATTGTCGATGAGGGCAGCTCTTCTGGCCCAGTGGAGGAAGATGTACATTTTCCACCGGGGCCTGGGACCAATAATGAGAGCATTCCAGGGTCAGTCTCCACAAATGCGGCATCAAATAGCCTTGGACCAAACGCAGGGGGCGTGGTGATTGATGAGGATATCAAGGTTGAAAGCGGTGACTCCTTGCCTCCGGAACCTGCGACTTCACAAGAAGCTGGTGGGGATGTTATCACCGCTGAAAATGGGAAAGTTGACAGTAGCAATAGTTCTGGCACAACACAGGACGATTCGCATTTCACCCCCGGGCCTGTACCGACTCCCGCAAGCAAACAGAATGCGAACTTTGGAAGCTTGGCGCCAAATAGCTCACAAGATAACAAAGAAGGTATAATAATTGATGAAGATGTGAAAGTCGATGATGGCAGTCCTTCTGGCCCAGTGGAGGAAGATCTACATTTTCCACAGGGGCCAGGAACCAATAATGGGAGCATCCCAGGGTCAGTCTCCGCAAACACAGCATCAAATAGCCTTGGACCAAACGCAGGAGACGTGGTGATTGATGAAGATGTCAAAGTTGAAAACGGTGACTCCTCCCCTCCAGAGGAAGAAAAATTACATTTCCCTCCCGAGCCAAACCCTCCTCAAGCAGGCAGCAATAATCCAAATTCTTCAATATCCTCTCCTAATATTAGAGACGCATGCGCACACGCGCAATCGTCCCTCAATTCGCACACTGGAAGTGGCAGCACTGATGATGTGCACAGTTCTCCATGTGATCCTGCTAGGCGAAGCACCGATCATCCAGAAGTCGTGCGGGACCCATCTGCACTCCGCAAGGACATGCCGTCTGAAAAAGACCCGCCCGATGGGACTCTTCGTAAAATGGACTCCGCCGCCGGCGAGAACGTCACGCAATCTGGGAAACAAATCCAGATCACTTCCGAGTCTGTCAGCAAATTTATCGCAAAACCTTCCAGACGGGGAAGTGGCATTCGGGATCCCTCCGGTCTACAGCCGTCTTCTGCCAAAGGTAAAAAATTAGGGGATAATCGGTCGTCTTTGAGGAGGAACGCAATGTCCAAACACGCACAGAAGGCTTCTGAAGGAAGGCAAAAAATAGTCACGTCACGAGGAGCGTCAGAGAAGAGTTCGTCGCTTGTAAGTGACGTACAAATATCGCAGGAAGTTGATGATGCAGATTCTCACGATCAAAGCTCCTTAGATGCGGGGGAGGACTCGGCTGATCAGAGCTACCCGGAAGTTAGGATAACTGGAAGCGTAGAGCCTTTGTCCAAATCCGACTTTGCTTCAAAGCTGGCTGGGACCATGCATGCTGTCGATGAGACCCTGGGGCAAACTTCCAGGGCCTCTGAACATGACTTGACACTTCCGACGCAAAATTTCGATTCTTCGATGTCGCACATTGACAAGAAATATGACACAAATTCGGGAAATTCCCTTCACAAACCCCTGGGAATTAACCTTAAGGTATTTATCAACCAGCCACCAATGAACACGTCGGCTCATGAGAAGGGAATCTCTGTCACATCACACGCAGATGAACAAGCACCTCTATCTGCCAAAAAACGTCGCAAAATAACATCGTTAAGAAGCGTCGATTCCGTTATGGACGTTGCAGCTGAGCAGCTAGCCAACGATGGATACGACTATGATTTTGCTCAGCTTCCGTCATGGATGCAAAGGGCCTCCAAGCGAAGCGTGGAATCGCTTCCCAGCGTGGCATATTCAGATCAAGCTGCACCTGAAGAACTGTCCGTAATTCAGAGGAGACCACACATACCTCATAACCCATTGCGATCTGTTCGCAAGGTCAGCTACGTTCATCACCCTAATCCAAAGGACACGAAACGAGGACTAGCCGTGCCCAGAGTTCAGAAAATGTTCCAAAGCGCTCGGGCCAACCTAATGCAAATTCTTGGCGGCCCGAAAGACACTCTTGATTCCGAAATAGATGGCCTTCTTGACGAAGCCCCCGCCGACAAAGATAAAAGAAACAACGATATGAGGCTGCGCCTTGATTCCAGCAGCCTTACATCGTACCCAGACCAAGATTCAAGTTTTCTTTGATAATGCTCTCGGCGAGGACCCTCAGCTTTCCTTGTACGGCACGCACTAAAGTTTGAATAATCTCTACCGTGCCGATGTCGGTCTCCTCAATCCTAGAACGTGCCTCTTATCCAGTCCGCCTGTGCAAGCTCACAGCATGGTAATCCTAGAACGTTGTAACCCAGTGTGTGTGTATGTCAATTGTTTGTTAAAATTGTTGATGATTACTGATATTATGAGTGTCGCCTGTTGTGTTGATCGAGATACTCAGAGTGTCTGATACACGTGCCAGTTGTGTTGATGCAATAAAATGTTGTTGTGAGATGGTGTTTTCACTTCTGCTATCACAACTGATGCAAATTGTCCCTTCCCTCTGATCAGGGTGCGTGGGGGGGGGAGGGGGCGGGGGCACGCGCCCTGGGGGGTCAATTTGACTCCCCTCAAGGTTTGTGATGGAATGATATCCGGACGGTGCGGTGTAGCCGTGCAAAACTTTACATAGCTGTAGACAATTGAATGGCGAAGCCTTTGGTATACAAAATGTGGTGTATTGTATAAGGTCGCTGACGTGTTGCAGGTCAAAGTCAGGCCATGGCTGTCAGCAAAAGCAGTTTCCAGGGAATTGTTAAGTCTTTTGCGGCAAACGGAGTGGTAGATGAAGTCATACATTTCTGAGGTAAATCTTTTTAAGGCAATAACACACAAGAGTTTAGAACTGCAACGCAATCTATTGACATGGAGACTAGTGTGGAGGCGATACCAAATTCTAAAACGATTTGCCTTTTTGCTCCTTAGAGCTTGCTGAGTGGGATCGTTTATAGTGCTCATTTCGAATTCATTTACAACAGGGACCATATCAGACATCTTCGATGTACCTCTTAAAGGTACACGATACAATCGCACAGGTGGTTAATGACGCGAATTGCCCTAGGGTCTGCGGCAACCTGGTCTTAACGCACGCTGGTTATCTCACTATGACAACCCCTTCTCAGCTTCTCTCCTCTCACCAACCCTTCCCACTCACCCCCATCCTACCATCCTACCCTCCCTTTCCCCACGACGTTCAGTTGCTCCGCCTCCCCAAGAACCGAGAGGAGGCAGATAATTACATCAACAAGATGTTCAGGGGCGATTCACAGCCAAAATAAGTGAGATAGCATCAGCCGGTCCGTTGCATGCTGTGCGCCTTGTGAGACACTGGACAGTTTAAGGCGGCCTCTCGCTGTTCTTCAACAGCTCAGTCAAGCGGGTCCACTCATCGCAAAATATGTTCATCTTGTTTGTGACGGTAGTTACATAATTTTCAATTCTGATGCAGTGTAGTTCGGACTTAACAAAACCCTACAGCTGCGAGAACCAGTGATCTTACAAAGCCATGTGCATGATTTGCCTAAGATAATGCTCATAAACACCGCTCCCGAGCGCAGGAAGTGATTACCCTGGTGGTGACCCAGGATCACGGACTCTATGGGAAGTTGCATTTGCAAGGCGCGCTGTAGGTCGACCCAAAGCCTTCTAACCTCAGGACAGTGTCAAAATATGAACGAAATGGTCTCGCACCATTCTGGATATTTCCCACATTCGTCTGAACCACGTATTCCGTAGAATGCAAGGCGTCTGTTCGTTGGCAGTATGTGGTGCAGAACGCGAAAATAAAGCCACCTCAGCTTCAAGTCCTTTGTGTTTTTTGTATACACATGAAAACGTTTGGCTACAGTTAAACTTCTCTGGGAGATTTAGCTCACCTCCCCATTTTCTTTGCGCCTTTCTGGGATAAGTCAACTTAGTCTGTTTTTGCAAGATACTGTAAGACCACTTCGCGCTTCTGGGTGTCTTCAAAATCTGCTCAAAACAAACCGGCAGCTTTGATGTTTGCGGTCTGTCTCGTAAGAGCATTGCTTTCCTCTCCAGGCAGCTTTGATAGCAGTGTATGCCATAGAAGAAGGCTTCCTGAGTGATGTTAGCGCCGTAGCTCAATTCGCACCTTAAGCCTGCGTCGTTTAATGTCGATGAGTCAGCCACCATAACAATACTGTGTCCGATCAGGGTCTGTTTTTGAAACATTGTTTCCCTCAAGGCGCATATGTTTGTTGAACCAAAGCGGTTCGGACAATGCCTTCTCTACCCGATGGTTTCTCTACGTGGCTTATTTTGTACCTGGCAGCTACCACCTCGAACCAAAAGTTGTCCTTGCGCAACTCGCGCATCATATAGAGGTCCCCATCGCGGTGAAAGATTGCGACATCGTTATCGAGAAATTAGTTTGTCCGCACTGTAGCCTTCCGTTTGTTTCTATGTCTCCTATCGAGCACTTTTCTTGTCCACGCTATCTTAAGGCTGTCGGCCTGAACGTTCATGTCTGGAAGCTTAAGCTCTCCGTGCCGCCATGCGTTTTTAACTGCAGATCGTGATTCCTTATCTGCCTTGCCCAGAGAAAATGGAACATCAACGATTATATTTGTTTTATTTGCTGCGATGCTTTTCGAAAGCTGACATGACGTGGATAAGCTGCGACAGTGCCTCAGACTTCAAGACGTGGGCCTTTCCGTACGGCGTGAGCCCGCGGAGAGCCAGGGTTAAGTTTATCCCTCAAGTAATCTATTTTGACATCTTAGTTTATTTCAGACAATTTTTCACTTTTTGGATCAATTTTAAGACCCAGATTCCGTACTGAACCGAATTCCCACGCAAGACCTATATCTGGACATATGCCAAACCGGCCAAACCGGTTACGCCGACTGCTTCCAATCCACGTGGCTCCCATTTTTTGCGCATTTGATTTTAGGTCAGACACACTGTAAAAATGAATTACCAGACTAATGAACACTCTGAGCGGCTCTGTTTGGTCATTAATTAGTCAATGTGTCATCCGCGTACGCAGATACTTTAATTTCTGCTTCTCCGAAGGTCAAACCATTTGTCCGAACGTTACCGCGGATTTGCTGCAGCATAGGCTCTATGCACAACAGGAAACGGCTGCAACTTGATAGGCATCCCTGTCTCAGGCCTCTCATAGTTTGATACGGTTTTGACATCTCACCATTAATTTGTATTTACGCATAGTTCAAGGAGCTATTTTCCTGATAAATTATATCAATCCATTCATAGAGGAAACCAAATGCCAAATTATTCAACAACGGCTTCTGAGTATCCCAATCCACTGATTCATGTGCTTTTTGCCAGTCACAAACCGAAAGCAGTTCCGGCATCTTGGTTTCCTGTATGGCTCCTAGTAATTGTAGCATAATTCGAATATTTTTCCGATGCATCTCCTTTTTATGAATCCTGTCTGGTATTCGTTGATTAGTCCACGAATCACTTTCCCAATGCGCCTGGCTAGTGTGTTTGTCAAAATTTTAAAGACCACATTATGGAGGCCTATATGATCGCAATGATTCCACCAGCGCCTGATTTTTGTCTTTCTTCGGGATGACAATTGTTCGCTCTTCTGCAGGTCTTGTGAAATGTGGGCATACTCGTGCAATGCTCTAACAGCGCCTCAGACTATGTTGCCCAGTTCCTGCCAATGTTTTTTTTTAATACATCGTGTAACCATCCGGGCTAGGACTAGTCGAGCTTTCCATGGAAGCCAGAGTTGCACACAGTTCTTGTTCTGTAGGAGGCCCTTCCAGCTCCTCTGCTTCCGCGTTTGTCATACCATGGATACATGAAATGAATTCGCTCGAAGCGTTACACATCGATCGCTAGCATAGCGCTTTAAAAAAGAAGCGGTATTCTTGTAACATTTCCAAAGTGGATTTTGTGGTATGACCGGCTTAAGTATGGTTTAATATCAATGACCGAAGCACCGTTTGCCCACCGATAGGAGTCCCCTGGCCGATCCGGAGGTCCCTACAGAGACATATCACACGCTGCTCCCTTTCCTGACGCAAGAGCACCTCGGCAGGTGATCCCAAATCGACACTGGAGCCCTCGTTGATACAGCAACATTCCTTATCGTCGCAGGTGATCCAATACTTGCCGCAGACACTATAGTAAGGTGGTCTCTGCGTCCTTGATTGAGATGGGATGCAGGGCACTCCGTTCGGTACCGGGAGGCCCTGGCTGACACTAGCTGGCCGAAATAAAGACCCACATTGTCCCAGAGGTCCCCAATCGGCTTGAGAGACACTCTAATTGATATCTGAGGTCCGGGTCTTCCGGGCGGAGGTCCTTAATGTGACATAGAGTCAGGGCCTTGAGACCTTTGGGACCCTAGTTTCCAGTTGGACACTTGGTCTTTGGTGTCTCTCTTTAAGCCCGATTTGGGCCTCCTCAAACACGGTCTTTGGCCGACTCTGGTCACTTCCCGACACGAGGCCCGTGTAAGACACTTGAGGTCCCGACCGACACAGGAGCCGCTCTCTGCTTTAGGTACCTCCACCGATGTAAACTGCGGATCGCGTTGTTCTTGCTCGGGGACTGAACACCAGACCGGGATCAGACGAAAGCGGACGACATCGACCGCGGCCGATAGAAACCGCGCGGGACGGAACAGGATCAGTCGGGACCGTATGCCGCCGGATGGAGCGCGATGAACCCAGATAGGGCCAGGCAAGATCAGAAGAGACCAGTCCAGGCTTTTTTCAGCTAAACATCTTTTAAGCTCATGATGCCAGGCGAGTGCGTATTCACAGTATTGCGGGAGCAGGCCCGCAACTTCCCAACTAATGGGAACCAAATAAATCTAGCAAGAAAAACATACTGTAGTATTACCACTTGAAGCACATGACAATCTTTGAAAGCTTCTAGTACACCCATTCAGATTTACATGCCATATGACAATAAATCATATTTTACCCCACACATGTCATCGGCCATCTCGCCGGAATCCACCGGGCGACAGAACCTCTCGTTGACAGCCCCGATTCCAAGCCCATGGGACCGATTGGCTTGGGAGATTCTCCATTTGATGCAGCTTTGCAAATATATATCCTTACCACGGCATGAGTGGCCTTAGAACACTTCCGAGAGCACCAAAAATGTCAACAAGCGGGAAACCAGTCTGCATGCAGCCCCACGCTGCAAACCACGGCTGCAAGCCACAAAACATCACAAGACCTTCGCGGGTCGACGAGTCAATCAACATACTACACTTCCCAGAACATGGTAAGCTTGGGTGATATCAAAGGGCACCGAGATTGCCCACAATCCACACAAATTCGATGCAGACAACCTGATACAACCGCCCACGCCCTCTCCAGTTCGCATCAACTGCCATTTGAAAGTTGCGATGCAGATGCCAGTTGATTATAGGTGCGCTTAAACAGTATCTATTAACCGGCGCTTAAACCCTCATTTGTTCGTCACAATAAAGCATTT